CCCCACGAGGGACAGTGGCAGGAGGGTGACAGCCCTGCTCCGAGGGCGCCGCTTGGCAGGGGCCAGGGTGAGCTGTGCTGGAGCTGCCACTGCACAACGGGGCAGAAGTGGTTATGTGGGGGCAGCTGAGGGGAGCAGGGGGCGGGGATCCCCCACACATCCAAGGCCAACGTGATCCATGAGGATCCCACTGCAGCTGGCACAGGGAGAGGCAGGGGCATGGCATCACCCAGTTCTGTGGCACCACTGGGACCAGAGACCACCTGGGAGAGGAGAACAAATCGTGGGCTAAAAACTACATGGGAGAGGCTGAAATTTGATTTCTGAGGAAAAGTGCTGAATTCAAAAGAGGTACAGCCAAGACGGGAGTCACAATGCTGACAACGGACCAGACAGTGTAAGAAGAGCCTGCAGAGCCATAAGGACAGTCAGCAGATTCAGGATGGTGGCCCCAAATCTGCTGCCCTACAAAGCTCCATTTCCAAAACAAACTTTTAAACCTCTGATTTCCCACCACACAGACCAAGTCACACAATTCCCCTGACCCAGCTGAATCCTAGGGATCAAAGCAAACGCTGACCTGGCCCTTGCACTGTGGACACAAACACCTCCAATTTAGCAGGGAAAACATGTGTAAGACTCAGAAATCCTTCAGCACACAGCAGGGCAGCTGGAGAGGATCAGTGTAATCCCTGGAGCAGCGAGCTCAGGCCAGCAGCAGCTGCTGCCCCCTGCACTGGCTGTGCCTTGCCCTGGGCACCACGGGCAGCTCCCACTGCTTCCCCAGGCATCTGCCATCCCGAGGGAGCCACGGGAAGCAGACCCTGCCACTGTCCCCATCTGAACCACTCTGCCCCCAGAAGGGCCAAATCTGGCTCCCAGCAAGCTCCTCCCTTGTCCCTGCTCCCCAAAGAGGAGAACACGGGCCATCTTAGCCTGGCACAAGGACACGCATGTTGAGACACGAGGAGCCAGCAGCTGCAAGTGCTTCCTTGCTGAGCCCTCCCAGGGTCCCCCAGCCCGTGGGACAGCACCTGCTGCAGTCCCAGGAGTGCAGCTTCCAGCCCCAATCCAGGAGTCTGGAAAGGCTGCAGTATTTGCAGCCCAGGGTTGTGGTGAGGAGGGAGAGCTCCCTCAGCAGCCCTTCCCTCTCTACAGCCCACCTTGCACACCCTTCTCCTCCTCCCTCTCCCTGGGGGAGGAAGGCTCAGGCTGCAGGTGCTGGGGACACCACCAGATCCCCTGGTTGCCTCAGCCAGACACTCCCAAAACGACCACCTCCCCATCCATCCATCCATCCATCCATCCATCCATCCATCCATCCATCCATCCATCCATCCATCCATCCACAGAGATCCACTTTTATAATACCTGGTTTTGGGCAGCACTCCCTTCCACCTCTTTCAAACCAAACGCTTTTGGGTAATTAACTTAATCAGGGATTGATTACCACTACCCCCTGCCCAGCAGGGAGGCCTTGAGCACCGCCTCTCTTTGTCTTTTGGGGTCGGGCAGAGCTGTGGGCTCCTCAAGAAGGAGAAATTCCCCGGCTCCATCAGCTCGCTCCACCCCTCTCCCTGCTGCCCGCGGCCGAGCTCGGAGCTCCATCTGCAGGCGCAGCTCTGCCTCCATCACCCCGAAAGCGGCTCCCCCAAACTGGGGCCCTGGCACACGGGTGTTTGGCACATCCCGGCTCCCACAGCTGCTGCCCAGTACGGGTTTAGCTCTGCTCCCCGCTCACCCATCCGAGGTGATGCCCTGAGGCCAGCGGGGCACCCCAAACCTTCCCTCCTGTGGAATGAGGAAAGAGAGGAGGACAAGCTCGGGACCACGGGGCAGGCAGCAGAGGGAGTCACAGCGCTGTTCAGCGCCTGCTCCGCCTGTCGTTTGGCCAAAGCGCAGGAGATCGAGCTGGTGAGCTCCCAAGGGACACAGTCCTGACCTCCTGGGCTTCCAAAACGTGAGACCCAGCCTGATTTGTGTGCCAGGGAAAGAAGCTCTCAGTGGATGCCAGAGCTGGCACTGCCACCAGGCCCTCACCCGTGGGATGCAAAGTCTCCTTCCAGGGACCGAAACCTTGGATGCTGGGGGGACAAAGCCACTGAGCCCCATCCCGTGGGTTCCTCAGTCCTCTCCTGGGGATCGAGACCTTGGGTGCAGCCACAGCCTCTGAGAGAGCTCCGGTGGTGCCAGACGGGGGGACGGGACGGGGACGGGTGCTGGGACGGGGCTGGCGGGGCTGAGATCCCAGATCTATCAAGGGCTGGTTTTCAGCCCACATCCTCCCAGCCTTGGCAAGGTCATGCTTTGAACCTTAAATAAATACCCTTTCCAGGATATCTCGCTGT